TTTCAAATAAAATCTTTTTATTATTCATACAATTTTATAGTTTAAATTATTAAATGTGAAACTTACCTATATTAAACAAGTGTGGTATAACAAACCGGTCAGTTATTCAACACTATATTTATTATTGAAGCAATACTTAAAGCATACGCTATATTGTATAATACGAAGTAACGCAATATTTTTAATAATTACCAATCATTAATTACCAACCAGAATATTTGTTAATTTATAATGATCAATATAAAGTTTATATTATAAACTGTTGTACACCCAACTTATATGATCATGTTTGAATATTTTGATTAAAAAAATTAATTCATATTTTAACTGTAAATTGTAAATTAAATAATATATGCGTAAAAATTGAGCATGGTACTAATCATTAAATTGACTTATTAAGCACTCATACATATAATTATAAAATACATTAAGTAGCAAAAAATATGTAAATTGATGGCATAATTTGATGGCTATTTATTTATAAGAATAGTATCTCGTATTCATTTCATGGCCACAAATATCTTCGTTTTAATTAAACAATTTAAAGCTTATTAAAAGATAATATTCTTGTTTATGATTATTAATGTAATCGGTTTTAAAATAATTTGAAAATATTTTTATTGACCACTCTATTATTATTGATGTAATTTAACCATAATTAGTCATTGCTTTCATTAAATTTTAAAATTTTATTAATGTTTAAAACATTTTGAAGAAAATTAATGGTTTATTTGGGGAAAGAGAGGGAGAAATGACATGCGATTTACAATACATATAACGGGCGATAAAATTACACTTTAAATGTAAGTTTTGAGAATTCATTTTGAAAAACATAATGTTTTCATGTATTGTATAATTCCCTCGACATCTCTCCCAAAGTGTCGTTCAATGCGATAAATATGTTGTAAAACTTATTGCCGGTATCTTTAAATTTAAAGCCATTTATCAATTGTTTGTATCAATACTCTAATGGCTTTTTGAAAAATTTTTAAAACAAGAGTTTAGATTGTTTTACGTGTTATACAATTGATATAAATTCAATCGATTAGACGCTCGGCTTTCATGTACTGAGAAATTGCTCAATAAATGTGAGGAATATATCAAAAAAGGGAGGGATTGTCAGTCTATTTGAATTTTTTATTATTTTTTTGGTACCGATAGTTAAGATTATCATTGATTTCTTATCTATTTTTAAATGACAATAATTTAAATTAAGTTATTTGTCATATTTTTTGTAAGAATTTATATTGTATTGAATTTTAAGCTTATTATCGCACATTTCGTGACTTCAAATCAAAATGAAATGCATTTTAAATACAATTTCATTTTGCGGAAGAAAGTCATTGATTTTAATGATAGAAACGAAGGCTTGATATTCTTTAAGAGTTCTCACATACATATAAATTCATATATTATTGATTCTAACCGTTAGTATCTAACGACTGATTTATACATTTTTTGGTATACATTTAAAATTGAGCCAAAGAGCCAAAAGGGTTGATAAGATACGCGCTTAAGGATAACTGATGTCGGATTAACTATAACTAATACTATGATTAACAAACATAAAGTAATGGCAAGTGTTGGTAATTATTGCTTCATATAAGGCTTAAATCAATAATCACTAGAAATGCAATTTGCAATAGAGTTAGGATTTGTTTGAGTCATACTATACGGTATGTGCCGTGAATTCAAACCAAGTAATGGCACTGATATGTGATGTAATTATTGTATATCGCGATAATAACAGTGCAATATATTCAGTACACTTGGTTTATGTGGTATAGAATATCCTGAATTTGGTTCACAATATTGGATTCAATTCATGAACACAATGTGTTTTAGGCTCAAAATACATGATTAATTGCAAACATAACAACACATTATTTTTAAAGCACTTTTCTTAATCATTATTATATGTGTTTTTTGTGTATTTAAGGTTTGCCTCAAACGTTCTGCACTTGTATTGAAGTAATTAAAGAAAAGTACCAAAAATATTGTCTAAACCACTGTTTAATGCCTTATATTCTGTAATTGAATTTTAATTTCAAAATTTATGGTCAATTAATTTTCGCGTAATTTTGATCACAGAATAATGAATAGTATTGCGCCCAACGAAGAGTACACTGTATTTATTACCGGTACTAATAAAATATTGGATATCTATTTTAATATTCATTATTCCATTTAAATTAGGTTTGAATACAAATTCTCAATTGTTATTTTCCAATAAGGTAAAACTCGATTTCACTATACATTTTACTATAAGCTTATCATTTGCTCTATCAGTACGGCATATGGTATACAATAGTATGGTTTGTGTGCTATAAAGTGGGAGACATTTGGCGTTTTCTGTGCACTTGTATTGAGAATTAATCCGAAATTATAGGTACGAGAGAGTGATTGAGAAGATCAGACAAAACTCGAGAGTTAGTACTAAATAATTATTAATAAATAATACATTTGGTATAAATAAATACAAAAAACGTAATGATCAAAAGGCTGTGACCTATGTTTTGCTATGTGAGAAGAGACACATATGTGGCCTGTATTTAGTGTATTGTCGCTATAATAGCAGTCGGGCTGTCGGGTCGAGTCGAGTCAATTCAATAAAGTCACGACATAGTAATTGTTGCCATCATTTGCAGATAATATTATGCTTTTTGTGAATTTACACCATTTCTATTGAATCAAATGCCCAATTCTGTAGACCTAACTATATGTACAATATATACGCCAATCAATCCAACAGCCAATTAGAATAACAATAAAATTTAATAATTTATAACTATTTGCAAAATATTATGTATTTTTTTAGTATTCATTCATTAGAATACAAATTTGTCGACTAATAAATGGTTTTGTTTGATAACGAGTGCTACGAGTTTTGTGTATCAATACTTCAATAGTTAACATTTAGAGCTTAAAGAGAGAGCAAATGCGAGACCCAAAGCGAGAGAGAGAGAGAGAGAGAGAGAGAGAGAGAGAGAGTTGAGGCAATATTATGACAGAATTGATGATAATGTGAACATTGAGTTATAATCTCATTCATAATTCGTTTTGATTGCAATGTAATCTGTAATCTGACATAACATAAGGTAAGGCTTGTGTTTGGCTCAGAGGCCAGTGTTTTGCAGTTTACAGTGTAATCGAGTTTATGGTATTTTTGAAACAATATGTGATCCGATTGTGATGTATGTATGTATACATGTCTTTGATGTGATTTCAATGCGATGTGAACTTCCCAAAGGGACTGGTATTTCCATCGCAAAGCACAGTAAGCCTCTTGAAGAGAGAGATGCGACCGATCCTATCCGACACCGAGAGATGCCTTTGAATAATTGAATAGAAATGTTGAGTGTTTTGCTCTGCTCTGCATTGCTTTCGGCGTTGATTTAAGCTTTTTGTGTGCACTGTATGTCAAATAGTATTAAGAGTCGAGTAATACCTAATAGTAATACATAAGTACTTTCAATATGTATTCTTCAGTTTCAAACCAACAAAACTATAATGTGATTGGAATTGGAGTTTGCAGTCCAACTATAGCTCTCTCTCTCTCTCTCTCTCTCTCTCTCTTTGATGGGCAAATGGATTGACTAAAAGGCTCAGGTGCTCGACATTCATTTCTATTCAATTATTCAAAGGCATCTCTCGGTGTCGGATAGGATCGGTCGCATCTCTCTCTCTCTCTCTCTCTCCACCCGCTCTCTCATGTGTAACATCTGACGACTCGTATATATAACTCACTCACACTCGCACTCATTCACCCATCGGGTGTGGTTGTGCTGAGGCATAGGTGCGGTCCCACTCTATTGTCTACTAAAATACTGTATTACATGATGGCATTGATGATGATGTGATGGCAATGATGCCAATGACGGGCACTTCTTGATTAAATGTTTGGCCACATATTTAGCGGTCGAACTCTCACATCAACCATAATGAAAAACACTTCAATTGAATTTCTCTCTATTAAACCACTTTTCATAACGATATGTATTATAAAGAAATATATTTCATATAATATACGGCACAGAATTGCAGAATCGTATCCAGAATTACAGTAAAAGTAAGACAACTGATAGAAATAATTATTGTTATTGTGTTGGAGAACACAACTTAAATATAGAGTCATTTTCTAATTTCACTTTAATTGTGAGACAATACTTAAGTAAAATGAAATAAAATAAATATAAATAATACTATCCGTAAGCTATCAATCATTGAATACAATAGCGCTGTTCACTGAGAGGTGTAATCAATAAATGTTTGCTCACATAATTTAAGTTAGATTTAATTTAACTATACTATTATACTGGTTATACATAGACATAAAGTGGACATTTCAGTGGTTATATGTTGTACGGAGTGGTTGTATAGCATTAGTGCATTGAATGTCGAGCACCTGAGCCTTTTAGTCAATCCATTTGCCCATCAAATAGAGAGCCCATCGCCAGAGCGCCTATAACTCAGTGTTTTGTTTGGATATTTGTGTTGTGAATCCGAAAGCATTGATTCAATTAGCGTCCGACCGAATGACACGCGTTTAGTGAATGCAATCCAATGCATGCCATTGTTTGCCGTATATTAACGGCACGCGTATTGCGTGCGGCCAAACATATCGCCGCTTTGAATGGCTTTGAATGGCTCGCAAACGCGCTCTCAATCAACGAAAGCCATTGAGAGCACCGGGAGATGCAGGAGATGTATGAGAGATGCAGATGCAGGTGCACTACAGCACACACTGCACACATCGCATACACGTATTGAATACAGTATTGAATGACTGATTGTCATGTATAGTTTTGTTCGTATGAGCATTTATATCATTATTTCATTATATTTCATACATTATATACATTACATAGAGTACAGTGTTTTTCAAATTGACAACAATTCGGGTAAATATAATGTAATTAGGATTTAAAACATAAGAAGTTTACACAACTTTTTTTCTTAAATTTATGATTAGATCATTGAAATCATTGGTTAATTTGTTTGGCAAACATTATTTTCGGGTCAGTTTTGTATTACAACTATTTTATCCGCATTTCAATTCTGAAACGCGTTTATATTTTTATAAATTAATGCATTATTTAATAAAAAGTATTTTATATTAAAGTCATTAATTAGTCGCTCTCTTTCTCTCACTCGCTCTCTAATCTGTGTAAATGTCTTACTGTTGTTGACCTCCGGGTCCGTTCACCGCCGAGTACTTCATTCGCTTCTGTTTCTGGCGCTGATTGCAGAACCAAACTCTGACCACATTCTTCTTCAGGTCTAACTTCTCGGCGATTGCGGCGATCTTTTCGCCCGACGGTCGCGGCTGTACTGAAAAGTACGCTTCGAGTGAACGCTTCTCCGGCGCCGCGATTGACGTCCGCTTCCGCTTCTTATCACTGGAAGGCAGGACACAGAGGTCTGCGCCGCCGTCTCGACCGTTGTTCCGGTTCTTTCTGGCCTGAGCTTCGGCCGCCTCCAGCCATGCCTGTAGTATTGGCTTCAGTGCCACCATATTGTTATGCGAGAGAGTCAACGATTCAAACCTATCAAATCAATCCAATTGATAGACTGTAAATTGATTGACACATTGGTTGACGAATCAAATATACGGATCATTTACCTGCAAATAGTGCTCTGCGAGAGTGAGCCGACTCCTGGAAGTTTCAAATTGGCCAAAGCTTTGCCGACATCCGCTTGAGTCACACCGAGTTTGATGCGCCTCTGTTTGAATCTCTCGGCAAACGCCTCGAGTTCTCGCGGATCGGCGTCTAGTAGTGAGGGATCAGCCGAGACGTGATGCGGAGAACTGGCGACGAATGAGCTGTGATGATGGGGATGGTGTGGGCCGTGATTGTGGGGATGATGATGAAATGGGTTCTGCATGTGATGAGTAGTTAACTGTGTAGCACTTGGATGATGATGGAGACCAGGAATCATACCATTAACTGCATATTTATAATGAATTGCATTTGGTTTAGTCACTCGACACATATAATGAGCAAATAATATGATAGTAACCATTCATAGGGTTGTGATGATGCGAGTGAGCGGAGTATAGAGCGGAAGGCGCGTGCAATTGAGCGCTGGACGACGACCCCGGATGATGGGAGGCATCTGATGCCTGAGCCGCTAAGCCTAACGCCGACGGCAGCGAACCAGACATGGGATCCCCTGTAAGGAACTCATGCATCTCCGAGGGATGGTGTTGTCGACTCTGCATCATGTGGTGATGGTATGCCATCGATGACATGTCGGGCTTAATGTTGGCCTGATTTCTATTGCTCAGGTCGTGGAGTTCGGCGGCCGCCGCGTCCAAACCCGCCGCCGCAAAGATATTGGTAGAGCTCTATTGGATTGTATGACAATTGGAGAGAAGACAGTGTATTATAGATGAGAAGCAAATAGAGAATAGAGAGTGAAGTTATGCTATGAGTAGAGCGACTAATATGTATTATAGCTATTAATTTGCATTAATTGCTACTTTGATCGATGAGTTATATGAGTGCATGGCTTGCATATCAAGTAATCTCTGATAAGTTTAGTCAAACGGTGTGCTGGAGTTGTAGTACGTGTGCGATAAGCGCCTGGTCTGAGAGTGAATCTCTGCTCTGATAAGCACACAATCATATAATATATTTGATTTGATGTAAGCATTTAATTAATTCATAATTTGAAAATAAAACAAAATGCTATAAATATGAAGCATTTATTTTGAATCAATTGTGTCTCACTATTATGAATGTTTAGTTCATATCACATATCGCTTGAATAGAGAGCCGTTTCTATTGTATTGTTGCCCAAAGCGTCTGGGATTTAATAATTCATAAAACATACTCTATCTGTATATACGGTAATTGTAAGTATGGTATTGAAGTCATATATGCACCACAAATATGCAAATATAGCACTACTTGTGTTTAGTGAAGTTGTGTTGGCATTGCTAAGAGAGATGTGTTTCAATGGTATTGCTATTTAGAAAATACCATTTAATTATTAAAGAGCGCCATATATAATGCAATTCACTTTTTTGTGCACATTATAAAAACATGAACCGAGTGTAGAGTCGAGTGTAGAGCCCAGACCCCAATTAATAAATAAAATATTTCTCTAATCATAGATTATAGACACACACACCCAACAGACACGCAGTGCATGTACTCACAAACACTACCTACCAGTGCAGTGCCATACCATTCCCATACCATACCAGTTCCCGAACTAACGTTCATTTTCTTTTACAAGCAAAAGCAGAAAACTTTTAAATAGTTTATAAAGGCATACAAGCCATGCAAAAATCATGCAGACATCAGACCCAACACTCGCGGCACATATATAAGTGCTTGCCATGCATTCATCGACACCACACAACCATCGATACACATCCAACACATCCAAACCGTTTGGTTCCCTAAATAAAACCAACACTTTTTATACGGAATGCATTACTTTTCAATACGATCGCTACCGAGTGTATTGCGGCCAAGTGCTATTTAAGGGGCAACAACTCGCTTCCCAACCATCACTGACTACTCCTATGAATCGTAAGTTTGTTTTTAAAATACTCTCTTATCTCATAGTAATTGATGTCATAATTACTGATGCGTTGGAAACACGCAAAAAATGTGATGCGATTTAAGCTCGCATTTAAAGTTAGTTTAAGATAACCTAAAAGACTCGGCAAAACTCAGTGCAATAAATAAAAGGATAGGAATTGATGTGTAAAATGTATGTGAAATAGTTTGCTGTGTTATCTCTTACCGGAGAATTGTGATGAGGGTTTGGAGTCATAGTTGGACAGTGTCTTCTCATATCTCTGTGATGGATAGAGGTTGGAGTGTATGGAGACGGAGGTGAGAACGATGTACGAGAGGGGGAACCGACTGATTGGGTCGCGAAACACGAGTTAGGACTTGTTGTCTTGATTAGAGTATTATTCATAATATTATACATAAATATTGCAGTGAAACTCACTGTTTGACAAAAATCTAATGCATTTTTAGAACTTGAAGATGAGAGAAACTGATAGATATTTTGGATGGTGTGCTCCAGTCATGCCCGCGAACACTGTGCTAAGCCTCCGCTCTTTGCTCAACCAATCACAGCCCTGTATAGGCCATACCTGCAGACAACACATACAAGTGCATCACTGAATGTATTGTACTCTATGTTCTGTATGTATGGTTTGTATGAATGCAATGAATAAATATTGTGCTCACAGTATAGATTCACAATAGGGTTATGGGTATGGAGTGGCTGTGGCTATGGCTATGGCTCGAGAGTGAATGTGGAGTGGATGTGGAGGGTATGGAGGGTATGGAGTGTCTCATCAAGTAGTCATCTATTATTCTATTTAATGTCATTTTGTGTTACTTTGTGTTACTCGCACTTAATTTAATATAATTGCTATTTTGAGTGATCTTTTTGTGCAAACACATAATTGTCATGCACTCAATGCACGCATTAATACCCATATAAATAGTTATCTCAATCTTTACTTCCGCCCTCTCTCTCTCTCTCTCTCTCTCTCTCTCTCTCTCTCTCTTATGTTTGTCTCCAACGAGTTTTCACATTACATAAGATTAAAATATTTTCATTTGCTTTATTCTGTAAGTGACAGCGACTGAAAAAACGGTGTTTATGAGAGAGATAGAAATAAATAGCAATTTAGAGCCTAAGAGCTAATAAGACTTTGGGACGAAACGATATATTTTGTTGCAAATGGCATTCAATGGCACATTAGTGGTGCTATTGTGTGAATGAGCTTTAGTTTGGCTTCACTTGACTAACACTAGTCCTAATCATTTGAAATGTTGGCTCATTGGCGTTGGACACGGAAATTGCATTATAGCTCATCACTGATTTGCTTTGTTTAGTGTGGCAACAGTTGGCCCAATACTGTTAACATTGGCACTGCCTATGCATCTCTCTCTCTCTCTCTCTCTCTCCTCTGTATATGTGTTGGTGTCATATATTTATGGTGAAAGTCCCGCAGATTTTTAAGGCCATACCCTCTCATACATATATGAGATTTTTTTGTTAAACTTATTTATGACATAAAAATTGTATAATATTTTCTACGAANAAACAAATATTCATTTTACACTACAATACAATTCTCCACTCCATATAAACTGCTCACACAATAGCATATACTCTATGACTGCTCTCTCATATACTGTACACTTTATGTACTGCTTATACAATGAATTAAAATGATAATAATAATAGCAATTTATGACATTATATTCTTTCATAACATCGCGAATATAGCGTATATATTGACTCCCGAGTGGATACACTGGATATACACACCATATATTGTATATATACTCATACACCAAATAATAAGCATTAAAAGATTACAATTTTGACAATATATTCACTCAATTTATCAAATACTACTACTTCTAAGTAGAGTGACCAACTCGTCCTTTTTTTCGGGATAAGTCCCTGTTTGACACATTTGATCCCGACCAGATTTTCACAAGTACCATTGAGATCCCGATGAAAATTCAATTTTACAAACAAATTACCTGGGAAATTACAAAATTTCTTGCAATATCCCGGAATTTTCAATAATTATTAAGAAATGTCCCGATTTTGTACATTTTGAGTTGGTCACTCTACTTCTAAGTAATTACTCACTGATCAACAAAAAGCTATTCATTTTTTATTTTTGATATTCAGTGAAACATTTACTTTAATTTTGTTTGAAAATAAAATATGTTTAACTATTATTAACACACTATTCAAACATTCAATTCATTCATTGCTTGATTTTACTATTAAAAGAAATAAAACTTTTTAATATCCAAAAGCTATACATTCATTGAACGAAAGTATTATTTATACAGAATATGTATATTTACGGGAGAAATAATTATAATAGAAATGTTTGACTGAAAAATACAGTAATTCGACCTCTTTGTAAGAATAACAGAGATTTGTTGTAGTTTTTGGTGACTTATTATACTTTGAATTTATTTATTCATGAATTAATGCAATGCAGAATCCAATCAACATTTCTCAGATCGAAAACCAAGTTTCTAGAGCTAACTGTGCGTGAGTTACACTACTATAAGCCCCTGTGCTCTCCCATTCACTCACTCACCAGTTCTCAATACCTCAATACAGAACATAGCGTTTAGAACATAGAGTTAGTGCAGTGGAGAGAGAGAGAGAGAGAGAGAGAGAGAGAGAGAGTATCATTTGTGTTATAGTGAGCCAAAACATTACAGCAAAGGTTACAACTAATGATATACTTTTAATAATTGTATTAAGTGTTGACTACATATATCAGTATCGCTGTTCACTGAGATGTGAGTAAGAGAGTGGGTGAGAGAGTGAGTGAATGAGTGAGTGAATGAATGAATGAATGGAAGCAATAGTTGTCTTACTTGACCCTCTCCTGTGTGTTGGGGGAGAGCCCAGAGGCGCGAGTATATAATGCGTTGGGCTGTATATCAAACTCACACACAATAGATTGGATTAACAATTGAACATTAATCCATATGTTTCCTATGTATCATTTGGTGAATCCTTGGCAGCACTTATACACCAGAGAATTAAGACAAACACAAAGCGATGGACAGTTTGGATGGGAGAGAGAGAGAGAGAGAGAGAGAGAGACTATCATTTGTGTTATAGTGAGCCAAAACATTACAGCAAAGGTTACAACTAATGATATACTCGTCTATACCTCGTGGAAGAGCTCTCACGCATTCGACTCACAAAAACAATTTTATTCTCATCTACTCTAACAGTCTCTACAGTAATCGTAATGAAAAAACTAAACCATTGAAACATCTGCGTTGTGGTGGTTAGCACTACATTCATATACACTATACAGTACTCTACTGTACACTATATAATGTATACACTCTTTTCCAGTACACAACGCCCTAAAGCACATAAGTTTGGCTCTGAATTGTCATAATCATCACAAAAAATATTAACTAAACAACTATTGACCAAAATATCTATTGACTACAAACTTATAATGTGATGAAATACTTTGCTTTTCACTCAATCAACGCATTGACAGTCACTTTGCAGATGTTTTTCACTCATTTCGTTGAGATATACTTTTTAAAAACAAATACTCCAAAAATATTACATAAACTCAAGTGATAAAAAAATAAGTTTAAGTAATCTTGAGTTTAATCAAAGTTTGAAATTGAGATTATAATTGTTAGGCCAGAGAAACACATGTGAGAGTTAGTGGTATGTTATATAGGGATGTGAAGTGCGAGAGAAGAGTCTAATCATATTCAGTGAACAATTAGAAAAGGAAAGAAGTAAAAAAATGTTTGAGCAGTAAATAGTGAAATGAATTAAAATTTGTTGTGTTGTTGGGTTGTGTCTAACGGCTGTTTTATGTGCTGCCACTTTTCATGTCATGTTATAAATGTTACGTTTGGGAAACATTGCAAAAGAGCACAAATTGAGTTAAGATTGCGTTGCGAGCGATGCTATGGCAGAGGCAGCGAAAGATGTTGGCTTTGGCTTTGGCTCCGGTATTATATGAAGTATATGTTGCAATAGAGAGAGCAATACAGCAAAGAGATGCTGAACTCATGCAAAATTCAAAACTCAATCATGTTATCCAAACGCTCGTATGTTTGTATGTATTCCCAAATGGATTCTCAAACCATTGCAACCAATCCTATAAGAGGTGCGCGAACCAGAAGAGCATCACAACCGACACAACATTACAAAGACTTAATATTGAGATTACATATTATATTATCGCAATATATGGGCATTACATCGAAATATACTTTTTTCAAAACTATTTTCAGTATTCTTTAAACGCTTTTAAACTCAAATATATTGTTTACAGCATTGAAATGCAACTCAAATTAACTCTATTATTGTATGGAAAACATAAAATAAATTCAATGTTCAGTTAATCCAATGTAGGGCTCAATAGTTATGAGAGATGCGTTTCCCTCATATTCATATCATACACTAATTGTATTCACTGGTGACTAAACTTGTCTCTCATGCCTTACCCATCATTTCAATTTGTATTGTAATAAAAAGTAACGACTTTCCCTTTCCCCGTCTCTCTCTCTCTCTCTCTCTCTCTCTCTCTCTCTATTGTGCAAAAGTCTCCGCCTTTGCTAAGAGTTAGCGTTTCAGGTGAGAAAATAATGCTGAATAATGCACCTGCACTTCGATCAATGCATATATGATTATAACCACCACTTCTACCACTGTGATTGAGTTTTGAATTTTGCATGAGTTCAGCATCTCTTTGCTGTATTGCTCTCTCTCTCTCTCTCTCTCTCTCTCTCGCTCTCGCTCTCGCTTTCATATTGATATTAAACAAAACAAAAACACTTGAATACAGTCGTATGGATATTGTTGCCAAAATTGTACCGTTAGTTGTGATTGTAAAGTAGAGAAACACAACTACTGCTAGAAAGTGATCAGTAGTGGAGGAGTAGTGGAGGCAGTGGTAGAAGTGGTGGTTATAATCATATATGCATTGATCGAAGTGCAGGTGCATTATTCAGCATTATTTTCTCACCTGAAACGCTAACTCTTAGCAAAGGCGGAGACTTTTGCACAATAGAGAGATGAGGAGTAAAAATGTTGTGTTGTTTGATAATCATTAATCATATTCAATAATTATTTGGTCAAATCCCGGCTGACAGCCATTGTAGCCCATTTGTAAGACTATATGTATACCTATTCCTATCTATACTCCCTAATAAAGCCCATTCACTCTTTTCCATCCCTTTCCATACATACACTATATATCCCTTCCCTTTCATAACGTTTCTCAAGGATTACATCGACTCCTCTCTAGAAATTATTAATGTTTTTTCGAGTTTAGCTTTTTATAACCGAGTCTTTCATTTATTGTTTGTCATATTAATTATTAAATTATTTAGTGTTTAATGAAATAAAAGTCAATTGAGTTAAAAGCAAATATTTTTTGCAACACTCTTTTATAGTATTCTTATTACATATCAAGTACTAAAAGTCAATGAATTATTTTCAAAGAATTTATTTAATATTTTAATAAAATATTTATATTTCATTGCATTCTTCTATGATATAAGAATTAGGGGTTAATTCTAACCAATGTTTAGCTAAATGTAAATATTTAGTGTTTAATAAATTATTTAATTTC